CAAACGGCTCGCTCGACCCGCACAAACCACTCCCGCTGGGATCGACGGCCAAGGAGAGGAGTTGGGTCGGGCGGGGGTGGTCAACGTGCGAAAGTTCCGGTACCGCAACAAATCGTGCGCCCGAACCGTGCCGTCCAAGGAGGCCGACAAGACCGCCTGCCCCGAGCCCAGGAAGGCCAGAGCAGTGACAGGGGCGTCATGGGCCGTGAAGGTGACGAAACTGAAGCCAGAGGCAGTCGACCAGAGCTTGACTTTGGCGTCCTCCCCCCCCGTGGCCATCACTTGTCCGTCGGGGGAGTAGGCGACCGCGTTCACCGCCTGAGCGTGTCCTTGTTGCTTCAACACATAGGTCTCCGACTGCCACTCCCACACCAACAGCTGGCCCAGGGGAGCACAACCCAAGGCCAGCCATTCGCCGGTCAAATTCAGGGCGACCGTTCCGATCTGTCCCGAGGAGACGGACAGGGTGTGGACCACGGCGCCGGTCGGGAGGTCGTAGAGGCCGAAGACGCCGTCGGAGAACCCCACGACCAGGAGGGCGGTGCCGGGGGAGGGGGCCGTGGCGGCGGCGGCGGGGAGCGGGGAGGAGATGGCGTGGTAACACACAGACACCACATGGGCCCGCCGGGATTTTTGAAAGGCGTGCCGGTCGTGGCATTTCCAGGTCTGGGTGCTGGGGTCGATCACCCACGCGTAGAGGAAGCCGTCGCGGGCGATGGAGTAGATGCGGAGGGAGGAGAGGGGCGAGGACCGGGGGGAGGTCCAGACGGTGTCGGGCCCTTTGGGAGTGGATGGGGGAGGGAGGGAGGGAGGGAGGGAGGGAGGGGAGCCCGCACCTCCGTCGGACAGGAGGGGAGGGTCCCGGGCTTCCACGGGGCCAGACGCACTAAAGAAGGCGCCGACGATCCGATCCCGGTGGCCCGATAGGGTGGCGGGCGTGAAGACCGCCGGAGGCAGAGGGTGGAGGCTCCAAATTCTCACGGTCAAATCCTTGGACCCAGTAAGCAGATACTGCCCACAGGGGGCCCAAGCCAGGCTCAATATCTCGTCGCCATGTGACCCAAACGTCCGGTGCAACACAAAAGGAGCGAATTCCCGGGCTGCACCCGGCGTGCGCCACACTTGGAATTGACGGTCCTGGGTGACGGCGAAAAACTGCCCATCCGGCGAGAAAACCAGGTCTCGTACCTTATTGGGACGCTTGAGTCGCATCCGACACAAGATTATGCCACGCGACACATGGCCAAGGAAAAGGTAGCCGCCTGTGTCGACCGTGAGCAAGAAACGTCCGTTGGGGGAGACTGCGACGCGACGGATGGGGTAGGCGTGCTCGTACGGGAGCATGGTGGACACATGCCGTATTAGGTCGAAGACAACCACGCGATTGGTTACCGGGCTGTACAACGTGTTGCCGTCCGGGGAAAACACAACATTTCCCCCGGAATGCACCGCTCCCAAAAGACGGGACGGGCGGTATCCGAAACGCATCCTTTCAGCACGGGTTACTCTTTTTCCCTAAGGAGGCAGAGACGAAATAGACGGGAGGAGGTCGGTAGTGTTGGGGGTCCTGGGGGGCAGGACGAAGATATTTAGTTTGCGGATGCGGTCTCCACGTTCATGAACCTTTTTCGCCGGGCTGTTGCGAACCTGTAGACGTCTGTGTGTATTTCAAAACATAAATGTCTCCTTCATACGTGCGGTTGTGTGGCCACGGTGGCAGTGCTTCAACGGGTGGAAGTGTACGACCTTTCCACTGGCGCTTCACGAGCGAAGCTCCCGCCTCGCTTAAATTATAAAACCAAACAAATCAGGCATTTTCCTGCCTTCAAAGGCTAAGACCACGCTCACAAACGCCGTATGACCACATTTCTTTTCCCAGATACATCAGCTTCCATACCCACATACATGAGTGGGTATCAAGGGAAGGAAAAAGAGCGGCGGAGGGTGGAAGAGGAACCTCCCACTAGCGGCATCGACGGAGGAGATGTTTCCACCCTTTTGTACGTCTCGCGCGCAATGTCTCCACCCCTTCCGCTTTCAACATAATGTATGCATCAAACACTCACGCCAAAACCCCATTTGCGCTGCACCGCACAGTCCTCCCTTCTCCCCTCCTCCCCTTCCCCCTCCGCCCAGAGGCTTTGTGCAAGCGACGTCCGCTTCACGCGATCCTCTATCTCCTGTCCTCGCAACCCCTCCCCCGCCTCCTGTGAAGCCCACGTATGCCGTTCCACCGCCTCCGCCCCCCCCGTTGAGCTCGTCGAGCCCTTCGCTTGTATTCCACGACCCTTTATCATCAGTCTTGGCCCCTCCAGCACGCTCTTTCCCCTCCCCTCCTCCTCCCCCTCCTCCTCCCCCCTCTGTCTTTCCACCTCCTCGTCCACCACCACCCCCTCGACCATGGCAGCAGTATCCTCCACCTCCACCTCCAGGGCGCCCCTCCTCTTCTGCAGTGGTGCACAGCACCCAAGAAATAACCCAACAAAGGCAGCAATTATCCTCCCCTACGTCCTCTTCCCCAGCCCCCGACTTCTCCTTCCTCCCCCCCTTCGCGATCCGCAATCTCCATCGTCTTACTCCTCCCTTCCTTCTTCGTCCTCGCCGTCATCACATCAAAGCCCACCTCAATGGCCGCTATCGCATGCTCCTCCTCCCCCTCCCTCCTCCTCCTCCTCCTCCTCCTCCTCCCCCTCCTCCTCCTCCCCCTCCTCCGCCTTCCCACTCCCGCACGTCCACCTTTCCTAGACCCCCGTCTCCCCTCTTCTCCGCCGCTCCTTCCCCGTCTTCCCCTCCCTCCATCCGCATCAGTCACCTCACCGACCACTTCCTCGCCGAGAGCAGCGGCGTCCTCCCTCATCCCGAAGGTTTTCGCTCCCGCCGGGGGCTTGGTCGCACTCTGTCGGATGCGGGCCTGGAAGACAGTTTTGGAGGTGACGGACCGATTGACGGGAGGGGAAGGGGAGAACGGGAGGGAGGGCGGGGAGGAGGAAGAGGTGGAAAGCATGATGGACGTGGTCACCTCCTCCTTCTTGGCTTTGCGAGGCTTGGGGAGGAGGCAGGCGGTGAAGGCAAGATTGGAAAGGATGAGGGGAGAGGCGCCACTCCCTTTCCTTCTCCTGGCCGCGGACGCCTGGGTCTGGCTGGGGGAGGAGGAGAAGGCGTGCGATGTCTTGTACCGGATGCAGCGCCGAGTCCAACAAGAGCTGCTGGGAGGAAGACGAGGGAGGGGAGGGAGGGAAGGAGGGG